GTCTGATAGAAGAGGTTCGTTGAAATTCAAGCATGTACAGGCGGGAACTGCTTGAAGGAGGGGCCTAGGACCTGCCCCCCCTCCCCAGCCAGGTTTCACTGCCTTTGAATTTGAGAGCACCATCTCATCGATCGATATCAGTCTCAAAGAAATTGGAGTGAGGCAGATTGTAGCTCAAGTGTGTACCAGATTATCGGTCTCGTTCCTAGCTTCCTACAGATTATATTTTGGTTTTCCTGTAGGGTTTTAAGGATTCCTCCTAGGCAGCAGTCTGCGGCTTGCCCTCACTACTGGATGAATGGCCTTCAGGGATTGCATTGATTTCTTCCACCCCCACTGACACACGGAAAAATCCCTTGTGTTTACAGTGCTTGGCCCAAAAGGGCTTAGTAAAGAGATGGGTATTTTCCTTTCATTCATTCATTCGAACGTGTTGTCTACCCATCAGAATGTAACGTCCTGTTTATTGATAGTGTCTACGCAGGCCAGGGCCCTGAAAGGAATTTTTCTTCTTTCTTCCTTCTCCTTCTCCTTCCTCCTCCTCCTCCCCCTCCTCCTTCCCTTCCCTCCCCAGTCTTCACTAGCGTGGGCCCGGGCCTCTGCTCGCTGCCTGAACTTTAACAGTCTCTTGATACTGCTTCCTGTGTGCCGGAATCTGCTCTCGTTCCTAAGGGGCAGCTGCTCGGTGAGCCATGAACCTTTTGGGGCCCAAAGCTCAGCTCAGAGCTGGCTCCTCACCTTCACAGAGGCCCTGTGCCAGGGGGTGGGCTCATGATCCTGGGGGGAGCTCAAGGAGACTTGGGGTGGTGGTGGGGCCCCATGGAGCCGCAGGAGGCTAACACGATGGTCTCCCCTTCCCTCTCCCCGGTGCTGCAGGCGCACATTGAGGAAGCAATTGGATCACAACCTCACCTTCCATAAGCTGGTAGCCTACATGATCTGCCTGCACACAGGTAACTCGAGCAGACAGAAAGGAACTGGAAGGCCTCCCCTTGGAGGGCCACGTAGTTCAGCTCCTTCACTTTAGCAGTGAGTAAACTGAGGCCTAGCACGATGGAGTGACTTGGTCAGGCCACAGGCCTGTAGCACACAGCAATTACAATTCCACAGTCCACGTTTTCTACCACCAAGACAGTCCCAAGTCATGTTATATGGAAATAGATTTAAGAGCCATTGAATTCCCCTCCCGATACTAGAAAATTCAGCCGTGGGAAAGGCTACTAGAATTTCTCTGTGTTTCGTAATAGGCACTCGTTAGCCTGGGATCCTGGCTAGGATGCTGGACTTGTGCTTAGAGCCTGAGTTCCAAGGCTGAGATTCAAACCCAGGTCCTCTGATTACATTGGCCCACCCTGGAGACTCTGCTTACCCAGAGCTTCAGGACCCCGAGGGTTGGCCAAGAAGAGACTGCATTTCTCTAGGACGCTATACCTATTAGAATGCGCCTGCAGACACTATTCTTGGGCAAGGGTGACCCTGGGCAAATCCTTTGGACCTCAGTTTCTTCATTTCATAAATGGGAGGGCTGGACTTGATGGTCTCAAAGTCTATGATCCCATGGCCTCAATCTGAGTGCCTCCTGTGTGCCCAGCACTGTGCTGGTACTGGACCTTTCCAGGGCCTTTGGCTACCATGGCTTCCCAGAGCCTTCCCTGCCCCATCTCTCTCTTCTTTTTCCACTTAGTCATCCACATTGTTGCTCACCTGTTCAATTTTGAACGGTATAGAAGGAGCTGCAAGGCTGATGACGACTCTCTGGCCTTCACCCTCTCTACTCTGTACCCCCATGAGAAGGGAAGCCCGTGGCTAAATCCCTTCCCCTCCTCCGACATGGTAAGTGTCTCCAGTGGCCAAGCATGGAGGCTCCTGGGATGGGTGGTGAGGGCTCGGGGTTGTCCACGTAGCCATTGCCACAGGCTGTTTCTTTTTCCTTCTGATGGTAGACAGCAGAGCACTTGACCTTCACCAGCATCGCTGGCCTCACTGGAGTGATCATCACCTTAGCTCTGATCCTCATGGTGACCTCAGCCACAGAGTTTATCCGCTGGTGCTACTTTGAGGTCTTCTGGTATGCTCACCACCTCTTTGTCATCTACTTCATTGGCCTCGTCATTCATGGAATTGGGTAAGTCCCTGGATGGCTGCCCTCCCCACCTCCCCACTCTCTGCCTTGTCTCATCCTCTGGCTAAATCACTCCTCTTTGGGTGTCTCAGGGGGATTGTCCGAGGTCAGACAGAAGACAGCATGAAAGAACACCCCCACAGCAAGTGTGCAGAGGAGTATAAGGACTGGGGGGAGCACTGTCGACGTCCCCGGTTTGAAGGACTGCCTGCTGACGTAAGGACCTCATGGCATCAGAGAGTTGGAAAGGGTGGCATAATGAATAGAGCCCTGGGCTGGGAGCCAGGAAGACCTGGGTTCAAATCCCACTTCTATCATTTACTACTTGTTTGACCATGGTTAAGTCACTAAACTACTCTGGGCCTTGGTTTCCCTTTAAAAAAAAATGAGGAAGTTGGCCTTGGTGGTTCTAGGTCCCCTTTGGCTCTAAATCTCTGACCCTATGAACTTGGGCTTAAGTGGCCCTCTGAGCCTTGATTTCCTCATCTATAAGATAGGAATAATAATACTCATGTTGCCTACCTGGGTAGGATTGGGTTGGGGGGGGGGGTCAAATAATATAACCACTTCGTGAAATCTAAAATGTTCTACAAATGTCAGCTCCCATGTAGTCCAACTTCCTCATCTTACAGAGGAAGAAACTGAGGCCCAGAGAGGTTAGGCCAGAGGTGGGGAACCTGCGGTCTCGAGGCCACGTGTGGCCCTCTAGGTCCTGAAGTGCAACCCTTTGACTGAATCCGAATCCCCTTCATAAAAGGCCGCACCCGAAGACGCAGAAGGCCACATGTGGCCTCGAGGCCACAGGTTCCCCACCCCTGGGTTAGGCAGTTTGGCCCAGATCACAAAGGTAGCCCAGAGCAAAGCCTCCATACTGGCTGTTGTAAATTTCCGCAACACACAGCTGAACAGCCTGACTGGCCAGCCTGCCTGCGGAAGAAGTGAGGACGCTTCAGAACTGGACAGGATACAGAAGCTCCATGTGGCTGGCGCAGCCAGGTGGCAAGCTTCCAGAGCTCCTGTCAGGGGAAGCTGCTGACTTAAGAAGAGTGTTGCACTCTGGGAGAAGGGCGGCTGAGCTCTGGATTCCAGGCCCGGCTCGGCCACTTCCTAGCCGGACAGGTCATGGCCCTCAGTTAGGTCTCATTTGCCTCACCTTTAAGACAAAGGAATCGGGCCTTCAGATCCTTTGGTCCCCTGAATCAACGACACAGTCACAGCCTTGGCAAATATCTGCTGAGTGCTTTGAGCAAACAGAATACTGCCAGGCCTTGGCTGGGGAGGGGGGCCACCCCAAGAACTATGGTACATGATCCCTGCTCTCAAAGGGGAAACAATCTAGGTCCTAGATTCTAGGAGATTCTCACAAGGAAGGGTCCTAAGGAGGCCGAAAATAGGCATCTTCAACTCATCGTCACAACAGCTTCTGAGCCTACCCTCTGAAGGTGGGGAGGGTGACATCTCTTCCCTAGCAGAATCCCATTCATATTTCCAGAATTAGCAACTGGAGGTGGGATTTTCTTTAAGCATCACGTACAGGAGCATTCTTTGCGAACTCCACGTCAACTGTAACTGTTCATACACTAGTATGGACTAATTGCAGTGGGGATAGTAATAGCTAAGGCTACCAGGAAGCACTCAGAACCCCTGGAATTGTGCTTTGTTCTCAAGGGCAAGGAGTAGGAGTTCAGTGGTGGGGTGGGGAGTGAGCTTCCAAATTCCATCCTGTTGACTCCAACATTACAACAGCTACAGTAGAGAATAGGAGCAGTAATCTATGAGATCAGATAGGCTCCCAAGCTAATGGTATCTCAGGTCCTGGGCTTTATCTTTATTAGCTTGGAAAGATTAAAGATTGAAGGATGAAAGGCAGACAGTGGCCCCACAAAGTGGCCTGAGAATGAATGACTGCTTTGAATCAAAAACAGAAAAGAAAGAAATCTCTCTGGAGAGCAATGTCTCAGTCCTCCCCTCCAAAGGTGAAAGAAGAAGCAGAATTAAAGGAATACCTCTGGCATGGATTACTAAGAAAGCAAAGGCAAAATGCACCTGTTCTGCCCATTCATCTTAATGCCTCCCCTCTGACACTTTCCCAGTTTATCCTGTCCATAGCTCATTTGAATGTAATTGCTCGCATATTATCTCCCCGGTAGACAGCGAGCTCTTTAAAAGCAGGGACTGTCTTTTGCCTTTCTTTGCATCCCTAGCACTTAGCGCGGTGCCTGGCACATAGTAGGCACGTAATAAAGGGTAGCTGACTGACTCACATGTTTCTGCATTGTGTTTTCCATCATCCACCTGACTCAAGAGTTGGGGGATACATTCTATTTGAGTAGCAGGAATGTGTGAACCCCACTCCCTGACTCCATGTCAGAAGAGGAAGCTCAGTCCCTCTGGTGTCAAAACAAACTTCATCTGACACCATCCTCAAGAGTCAACCTCTGAGGGGCAGCTAGGTGGCACAGTGGATAGAGCATTGGACCTGGAAGCAGGAGGACCTGAGTTCAGATCTGACCTCAGACACATGACACTTACTAGCTGGGTGACCCTGGGCAAGTCACTTAACCCCTGATTGCCTCACCAAAAAAAAAGCACAAAAAAAAAAAAAAAAGAAGAAAGCTCAATGAGATCGCGTGGGGAGGGCAGGAAAAGGTGGGGTATTTGACATTGGTGTTTTGGGGAGATAACCCCTTAGTCTCCAAAGAATAGGAGGACTGATGGTGACAGTATGGAGTACTGAGCTGGAAGTGGCCAAGGAGCAGTTGAATCTGGGTTCAAATGCCTGCTCTGCTGTTGACCACGATCTTCCATAAAATGTTGTCAGAGAAACGTGTCCAGAGACTGGAAAAAGACAGGGGCCGTCACACAGCCAGAGGAATGAAGCACTGTGGGCCGACCTGGATGTTCCACTGGGATCTTTGAAATGTCAAGAGAACCAGCGCAAGGTGCCCGCCATGTTGCCCCCACCTCCCTGCAGGAGACTTCCGGAAGGACAGAGACTAGAGGCACACAGGAGGGCCAGGCACAGATGGTCAACGAGATCGCGGCTCTGCTGGAGTAGATGTCATTGTTACTGTACACGAGGTCATGTTGTCCTGCTTCCCATCTCGCAGCTGCTAGGCTAACGTCTGAAACGCATCCAGTTCAATATGCAAGGTGCAGCTGTGACAGCTGCAAGGTGCAGCTGTGACATGCTAGGCCTAGAGNGCAGCTGCTAGGCTAACGTCTGAAACGCATCCAGTTCAATATGCAAGGTGCAGCTGTGACATGCTAGGCCTAGAA